CAGAGTTCAGGAATCAGGATACTATTTAGGCCTTGTTCGGTTAAGGTGGATTAAGCTATATACAAATTAAACTATCAATCTGGCCAAGAATTCTTCCAGGTGACCGTTCCTGGTCACAGGCCCTCAGCAAAAACAAGAAAAAGGAAAAAAAATAAGTCAGCTACATGTATCAATTCGTACAGAGGCTGGAATATTACAAAAACGCTTAGACGCATGCGTCCATCCTGTCGGACGCGGCATCCCACTCTGCTTCGCCCGCTTCTCCTATATTCGTCCGCCTCTCATAAAAAACATTCCTGACTCCACCTCGTGCCGCCTCGGCTTCACCGCGTCGTGCGGCCGTCCGCCCGCCCCACTCCGCCGCGCCACCGCCGCCATTGAAAGCTCTAGTTTGGTTTTGGTTAATTGATGAAACCCTAAGTGCTAACCTAGTTTATCAAGATGATTATGAGATAGGTAGCACTACTCCAAGTGATGAAGCAATGACGAAGATCATGACAATGGTGATAGCATAGTGATGATCAAATACTTGAACTTGGAAAAGAAGAAAGAGAAAAACAAAAGGCTCAAGGCAAAGGTATAAAATGTAGGAGCCATTTTGTTTTAGTGATCAAGACACTTAGTGAGTGTGATCACATTTAGGATAGATAGCCGTACTATTAAGAGGAGTGAAACTCGTATCGGAATGCGGTTATCAAAGTGCCACTAGATGCTCTAACTCATTGCATATGCATTTAGGATCTAGTGGAGTGCTAACACCCTTGATAATATTTGTGAAAATATGCTAACACATGTGCACAAGGTGTTTTGGGGGTTGAGATGGGTTTGGGTCCTCTCTCCCTCCCGCCGAAGCTTGCGAGGTGGGATTCGGCGCTTTTGGAAAAATGAAATGTCTATTTTCTATTACGCCGGATGCAAAATTCTTGGTGGTTGGCACACTTGAGCAAGGGTGAAGAAGTTAGAGTTGAAATGGAGTTGGTCGAAATGATGCTGGCGTCGGTCTACCGACCGGACGCTGGGTCACTCAGCGACCGGACGCTGAAAAGGTCGTCCGGTCGGTATCGACAACGATGATGGGTAGGGTTGAGCACCGGACGCTGGTCGTGCGTCGGTCGAGTGGACGGACGCGTCCGGTCGAAAAATCATGCCTCGGGAGCTTCTTTGAAACGACCGGACGCTGGGGCTTCAGCGTCCGGTCGTTTTTTGATCGAGAGCGTCCGGTCACCGAGCCGTTGAAATCGACGAACAGCGTTTGAAGGCTGGTGACGCGTGGCGTCCATCGGGCGACCGGACGCTGAGGGCCAGCGTCCGGTCGGTATGACCGGAGCGTCCGGTCAGAGCGTGTTTTGCCCAGTGAAGGGGTACAACGGCTCTATTTGATGGGGACTCTATTTATAGCCCCATGGCCGGCTCAAGGGCTCTCTCTTGCACATTTTCATTGACATAGCAACCTTGTGAGCTTAGCCAAAGTCTTCCCACTCATCTCCATCATTGATCCATCATCATTGTGAGATTGGGAGAGAATCCAAGTGCATTGCTTGAGTGATTGCATCTAGTGGCACTTGGTATTCGTGTTGCGCTGTGGATTTCGCTTGTTTCTCTTGGTGGTTGCCATCACCTAGACGGTTGGAGCAGCGGTGAAGGATCGGCACGAGTTGGTGATTGTTCGTGGCCGCCTTCGGTGATTGTGAGGGGAGTTGTACCTTCCCCGGCGGAGCGCCGAAAGGTAACTCTAGTAAATTGCTCGTGTCATTGAGTTACCTCACTTGTGGGTCGGTTCTTGCGGTGTCCAATCGTGTGGACGAGGTTTGTGAAACACCTCTTAGCCGCCGAACCACCAAGTGTTGGTCGACACAACGGGGACGTAGCATGTTGGCAAGCACGTGAACCTCGGAAGAAAATCGATTGTCTCTCTTCTTTGTCATTCTCCCGGTGATTGGCTATATATTCATCTTGTGATTGATTCATCCCCTACACGTCGGTATAATCACTCTACTCACTCATTTACATTCTTACAAACTAGTTGATACAAGCTCTTTAGTGTAATTAGAATTGAGAGCTTGTTTTATTATTTACATTCATCTAGTTGAGCTCTTTAGAGTAGCAAGGTTGAGAGCTCTTAGTGAGTAATTACATAGCTAGTTTGTGTGCCTAAGTATTCATTGCAACTAGAATTGTTGGATAGGTGGCTTGCAACCCTTGTAGAGCTAGAGCAAGTTTGCATTACGCTATTTGTCATACTAATCAAATTGCTCTAGTTGATTTGTAGATTTTTAAATAGGCTATTCACCCCCCCCCCTCTAGCCATATTAGGACCTTTCAGCCATCCCCCGCGACGCTCGGCCCCATACCCCTCAGCGCCTTTGTCCTCGCAGAGGAGGAATCCTTCACCAAGGTACGCTGCCAGTCGCGCCCACCGACTGATGCTGGTGCTGGACTCGATCACCGGTCGGCGCCTCGCCCTCCGCCTCCAAGCTCCATGCAGGTGCTCGGTGACTGCAGCGGCGCCTCTGTCCCCGCCACACCATGTCGTGCTCCGTCCACCGCCACGCCTAGGCCAGGTGCCAGGAGAAGGGGCCGTCGCAGGCCAGGCGTACGCGCAACTGGCTGCTGCTAGGCCGCACCACCATCCTCGGCCGTTGGTGGCCGGAACCGACGTCGTTCCCCGCTCTGCTATGCGCCCCACGGAAGAAGGGTGAAAAACGCATATTGCAAGCATACATTCCAAGTGTTTCATGTTATTTCAGAGGTATCTTGCAATTGTTTCAGATGGATGTTGCAATAGTAGATCGGGATGTTGCATATGTTGCAATGGTTGTACATGTATGTTGCAAGCTTCTGTTTTTAATGTTTCATCTTTTTTCGACGAATGTTGCAATGTGTTTATCTGGATGTTGCATATGTTTTCACACATATGTTACAAGTGTTTTATCTGAATGTTGCGTATGTTTTGCAATAGTTTCAAGTGTTTTTCAGGTGTTTTTGCAAGTGTTTCAGACGTATATTTCAAATGTTTCATTGTCTTTAAACGTATGTTGCATCTGGATGCTTCAAAACTAGATCGGGTGCTGCATCTCCCTACTCGTCTTCTACTGCCTCGCCTTGGTGTCAAGCGCGAAAAGCGAGGGCAGGCGGAGGCGGTCCCGCTGACACGAGTGGTGCCCACGTACATGCGCGGACGCGCGACGGCATGCAACATGCAGCAGCAGGCGTGGCTGGCAGGCACAGCAGGTGTGGGCAAGCGCAGCAGACGAGGCGTGGGCAGGCAGGCGTAGCGGCGCAAGTGCAGTAGGCTGAGGCAGGCGCAGCGGCGCGGGCATCAGAACGGAGGGCTAGCGTCTGGACGACCGGGCGCTAGCCACGCCCGAAATATTAATACATATTCCCTTTTCTAAAAAAACAGGCAAATAACTGAAATTCGTGAATTTTGGCAATTTTTGGATCTTCCGATATAAAAAATGTCAAACTAGGGTTAGAACTTATAGGATCTTAATTGTCTTGCTCACCCTAAGAACAACTAAGATTTAGAGATTAAGATTTCTTAGGTTCATACCTTTGTGTGCGGATGAAGCCGATCCACCACTGTGAGCTGATGGTGTAGCAGGCATCCTCGTTGTAGACTTGCGGTTTACAACATCAAAGCTCAGTGTAGACTTGTGGTTGGCGTCATCTTCTCATTAGGTCGCCAGTGCAGAGCGGTGGCGAGCTCCCGGTCAGTTATAGCACTCCCTAGATCGAGTTAGAGTTAGGAGTGTCGGACGCGTGGCTAAGCTCATGGGAAACGTTGGTTTCCATGATGCACCGAGTCTCCCATTTAAGTTATTGTGATGTGTAATAGGGACGGTAAGCATGAGTTGGTTGGACGTCCTCTATCAGGGCGCTTGAGTGGCTGGGACTTGGTCCTTTAGGCCTTGTCGCGAGAGATTATTCCAACATTAATCCTCCTCTAGTCTAATACATATAACCACTCTTCAATGAAACAACACACCAAGACCAAAGAATTACAATATATTAGTTAAGTGCTATTGAACTCAGTGACTACAATTCACCATTCCATATCTCAAAATGATCAATCTTAATCTTTTAAAGAGATGGTTGCATTAATGGTCCCCTTTTACTAGAGTCGAAGGTTTGCCAATAAACACATTCTGGCCACATGATACTTAAATATTTGGGTGGTAAGCTTTTAGTTAGCTGATCTGTGAGCATTTCTTTTGTAAAGGGCGTACCCAGTGCAGAGAGCTCTCGCTCTATACGGGATCTAAGGAAGGATGTTAGTGGCAAGCCTTACCCTCGCCTGTGCAATACGAGGAGACCGCGACTCGAACCCGAGACCTTGACTTTCACAACATGGTACTAGAAGTTAGTGTGTTTGGCGTCAAAAAAGAAGTTAGTGTGTTTGGTAGCACCGCTTGACTTGGCACTGGCATAAAGAATTGCTGGCAAATTATCACAATATAAGGTTACTCGTTTAGATATGTTGTTGACCACTCAGTCCAGGAATAAAGTTCTTCCGCCATTGTGGCCTATCGTGTTGCTTCAAATAAAGCTATGAATTCTACATGCATTGTTTATGTTGCAATAATACTTAGTTTGGAGCTCTTCTACGAAATAGCTACCTTGATAAGGTGAAATAGCTACTTGATTTTTTTTAGTCTGGTTGAGAAAGGCAACAAGCATCTTAGACCAGCTACAAGAACACAATGACACACTAATCTCTACAACTAAAACATTCATAACTATTCCGTCCACAGGTACGACACCAAAGCCGCTCGCTCCCATGCATCCCCGGGTGTGATCCCGTGGCTTCATAGTTTCTCCGCGCGCCGTGCGTCCCACCGCCAAATATAAGGAAGGTAATCACCGCCATAGAAGGACGGTAGATCGGCCTACTATTCATGCGTCTATCTGCACCGCTAGGTGGGGCCACATTGATCCCACGATCTCCCAGTAGGAAAGATTGCAGCGAGACACGTTAATCGTGGATCCTGCTCCCTTCCTCATACGATCCGTGGCTGCCTCGGTCTCCTCTGTGACAGCGCAGGAGCGCACGATACCCCGGCCCCGCGACTCGTCGCTCCACTCCCCTCCACGGCATCGCTCCCCTCCCCTCCGTGACACCCCGGCCCTCTGCAAGCCGCCGACCACCGTGGGGGACCACAACTCCCCCACGACGCCTCACAGCAGGAAGGAGCCAGGCTGCTGCTCGATGCCTTTCCCTTCTCCCACCTCCTGCTGACGAGCCCAGCCACCAGCAATCCTGCTCCCTTCCTCATGCGATCCGTGGCTGCCCGCTGACGACCCCAGCCGCCAGCAAGGTCGCGGCTGCTCGCTGACAAGCCCAGCCGGTCGCATCGGCCCCCTGCTCCCCTCAGTCGTTCCCCTACCACCGAGCCACCACGCCCGGCCGGCCGCCGACGCTCCACATTGATCGCGCCCCACGTCCAGCGGCCGCCAGTCGTCATCGTCATCGTCATCGGAACATCCACGGCAATCGCCGGCATAGGGCCCTGCCGTCGGGGCGCTGCCGCCTTCGCCGGCGACACCCGCAAACGTGTTGTCGGCGTCCTCCTCGGCACCTCGCCGGCGACCACGTCGTCAGCGTCCTCCTCACCACCTCCTACCGCGGCTCCGTCGACGTCTTCAACTCGTACATTGGTAAACCTCCCAGGTACCTCGCATCTCAACTGTGGTGGTGCTGATCGACTCTGAAAATGTTTGAACCATAGATGCATTGTCAGTGAATTGACAAAATAGGCAGTGTTAACAAAATATACATTTTACGTTTGGAGTACGAAACTAGGCCAATGGCATGAAGCTGTTCCATTATTCACAGAAACTGAAAACTAACTCATGCGTTGAAAACAACAGATCGCAAAATAAATCTAAAACTTTCAAAGAAATAGAAATTGATTAACTGAGAGATGGACATAGATCAGGCTTTGTTGCTTATAGCTTCTTCATTCATACCCCAACGGGAATTAGCAGGATTGATCAAGCCCGTGTTACCCAACAAAGAAAAAGAACTCAATTTGGCCATGAGAGCATTGAATTGCCGCATGTGTGATACCTCACAAGTAGTTTTGGAGAAACATCGGCATTAATCATTACTGCTCTACTATGGAGAAGTTTCTTACTATGGACCAAGGCAATACATTTGAAAACTCTATGCACAGTTAGAAGGGCAAACACAAATTTTCTGCATGGCGAGATCAGATTCAGATGGGAACCATTATGTTGGGTCAGCATAGTATAATTGAGCATAGCCTAAGGTTGCCTGCAAAATGCACTTCATCTCTAAACAAAATACCTTTGTTTCTAATTGAGGACAGTTTGAAATACTGCACAGATTCTATGAACCTGAGCACATCACTACACATAATAGTTTCTGTTTAGATATATTAAACTTCTTCAAAGTATTCCCCCAGAAGTCCTTTTTTTTTCCTTTTTTAAATAAAGCATACCTTGCCTATGTAGATACTTACAAAATTCTATGGATGTGGAATAATAGACTGATAGAAACATAATTTTTCGTTGAATATAGCAGAAGTTATGGCTTTCTGAATATTGCTGATCTTTACTGTCAGCTCTGTCATGCCGGGCTCAGTTTCGAACATTAGTTTTCAGTGTCATTTTATAAGTTCTTTGAAGGCAAACTGGTCCAACATTCTATGGATGATCTACTTCACACTCTCTCTCTAGCGGAACTTGTTAGTCGCTGAATTCTCACTCTTGGTAGTAGGAGAATTCTTACTCTCATCGAGAGAGGATGACACTAGGAGTTGGGGCAATTTTCTTGTCTATTTCTCACACAAGCTCACACAAATGCCATGCCAACCCAAGGGGTTGGGGATACATATTTATAGGCAGCTAGCCAGCTAAGCATATGCCAAGATGCTAGTCTAAGATGCTAGTCTAAGATGCTAATATGCTGTCCTAGCTAAGATGCTGTCCTCTAGTCTAAGATGCTGTCCTCTAGTCTAAGATGCTGTCCTAAAAACAGAAAAACAGCCACAAGGACAACCCCACAAAAGACCACAGCCCCACAAAGACTTATCCATCATTCTCCCCCTAAGTCTTGTGCGTCGTCTTGTGGGGGAGTTGAACCATCCTGGTCCTGGAGCAGAGCTCAAGGAACTTGATCCTCCCAAGGGGCTTGGTGAGCAGGTCCGCAAGCTGATCCTTGGTGTTGATGTAGCTCGCCTTGATGCTCCCTTCCTCCAAACAGCCTCGGATGAAGTGGTACCTCACCCGGATGTGCTTGCTGCGTTCGTTGAACACGGGGTTCTTCGCCAGGACTAGAGCGGACTTGCTGTCCACCCTGAGCTCCACCGCTCTAGTGTCTCTGCCGAGGAGATCACCAAGCAGTCGAGCGAGCCAGAGCGCCTGAGTCGAAGCGGTGGAGGCCGCTATGTACTCGGCCTCATGACTAGACAGGCCACCACCTGTTTGCTTGACCGATCGCCATTAACGAGGCACTTGCCGAGGAAGAAGAGGATCCCGCTTCGTGCTCTTCTTTGGTGTTGATGTCGCCGGCGTGGTCATTGTCGGCCGCATGCCCGACGAAGTGTGCCGCCTGTGGCACCTCGGGTAGTAGAGGCCGTGGTCGAGAGTCCCCGCAACATAGCGGATGATCCTCTTCACATTCTGGCGATGCTCCGTCGTCGGTCGCCGCATGAACCGACTAACGAAGCCGACGGAGAATGCCAAGTCCGGCTGTGTGTGGGCGAGGTAGCGAAGGCTCCCCACAAGACGCGCAGATCTGCGAAGCGCCCACCTCCTCCGTCGTCAGGTTGTCGCGGCTCGACTTCACCTCTCCTCCATCGGAGTGAGAGTGGGTTGCGATCGGTGAGCCCAGCTAGCTCAACGACGGCGCTTGGCGTGGCGATGCGTCAAGTGTGATCCCGAGTCATCCTGGTGCACCTCGATGCCCAGATAGAAGGAGAGAGGCCCTGTGTCACTCATCCGGAAGGTGGCCTTCATCTCTTCCTTGAATGCCGCCACCTCCGCATCCTTGGTGCCGGTGATCACCAAGTGAGCGCGCCGACGGCCGGACTGCACTCTCGCGGTGTCCACCGCCCAACAGAGAACCCGTCTTTCCTAACGGGCCTCATCAATGTGTCGGCGTGGCTCACACACCCCTGTGGTGGGCTTACTGTGGCTGCACCCAACAACAACAAGAACTTGGCCTAGGCAACACCTAGGCTGGCTGGGCTGGCTTTGACATGGTGGTGGAGTAGACGCGTGCGGAGTGGTGCTGTCGGTCTTGGAGTGCGTGGCGGCTTGGTTGTGGTGGAGCCGTGAAGAACTCATTGCGTACCGAGGTCTGGTGGAGAGTGTGGTCTTTGCCGAGTAGAGTAGCAGCGCAAAGTCGGTGGAGGCTCGGGGACTGGGGTAGACGCTTTCAAGAAGAGCCGCCTACTCCCCCCAGCTCCCTCGAAGTGGACGTACTCAACGGTGAAGTCGTGACGTCGGAGCCGAGCCGTCGTCCACCGCTTTGTGTCCACGCCCATCCTCGCTTCTTTTTCGCCGAACACAACGTCGCGCGCCAGGCGGCTTGCGCACGCTGTGTCTTGGTCGAGGATGCGGTAGGCCTTCGAGCCCTCGCGTAGCCGATGAACACTCTCGAGTGCTCTCGTCGTCGAGCTTGCCGATGTGGCCAAGCTCCTTGGCGAACGCGAGGCGTACCAAGACCCGCAAGTGGGAGACCGCCCGGCTTGCGCCCATGCCAAGCCTCGTCGGCGTCCCGCTGCCGAGCGCCTTTGGTAGGCGAAGCGGTTGAGGATGTAGACGGCCGTCACCACCGCCTCCCGTAAGACAGCGCGGCATCCCCTCTCGCTTGAGAAGGGCCCGAGCCATCCCCACAATCGCCATGCGGTTGCGCTGCCGACGACGCCTGCTCTGCTGCTGCGAAATGACGGTAGCGGAGTAGTGGCGCCAATGCCCACCATCAAGTAATGACGACGCGAATTCACCGCCGTGAATTCGCCGCCGTTGTCGGCTGCGACAGCGCGACGCTGCTTGCCGCCGCGCCTCCGCCGCAGCAGACTTTACGCTACCGATGGCGTCCGCAGCCTCTCCCTTGCCGCCGAGGACCATCACCCACATGTAGCGGAGAGGTCGCCGACGAAGCAAAGCAGGAAGTAGCGTCGTCCTCTGGTGTGGGCCGGTGTCACCGGGCCACACAAGTCCCCGTGCACAAGCTCGAGCCTCTCCTTGGCTCGAAAGCTCGCCCATTGGGGAAAGGGGAGTCGCCTCGCTTCGCCAACACGCAGACGTCACAAAGTCGCTCCACATGGTCGAGGCACGGGCAGCCTCGCACCATCTCCGTGGCACCGAGCCGCCTGAGGGCCTCGAAGTGAAAAGGTGCCCGAAGCGCTCGTACATCGCCACGCCTCGTCATCCCGACGGCGGCGGCGAGACGAGGGTTGTGCCACCTGCACGTTAAGGATGTAGAGTCGACGGCGCTTCGGATACCTTGGCAAGAAGGCGGCGTGGCGATCCCAAATCCTCATGACTCCATCCTCAACCATCACGCGCGCGAACCGTTCTCATCCAAATTGTCCCAAGGCGATGATGGAGTTCCTCAGCGCGGGGATGTAGTAGACTCCGGTGAGCGACTGTGCTCACCGTGAACACGGCAGTGAAGATGACGGAGCCGACACCCTTGATCTCCGCGCCGGAGGCATCACCAAACTTGACGGAGCCTCGGACGCTAGAGTCAAGCTCGGTGAAGAACTCCCCGTCGACCGGTCATGTGATGGGTGGCGTCGGTGTCGAGGCACCACCGTCGATCTTGTCGTTGCCGAGCCGCCGCCGAGGAGGGCGGTGCTTTTGGCTCGTCAAGGTGGAGGAGAACCGCTGCGGCGGTACCGGAGGTAGCTTCGATCTTTGGCATGTGCCATGAACAGTAGTCGGCTCTCCGCTTTGTCGCGACGTGGGCACGGCGCCGCGTCGTGGTATCGACGATCCTTGGCCCAATGGCCAAAGCCGCGCGCAGCTGCGGCAGTGTCGTCTCGTCTTCGGCTTGTACTCGCCGGGCGGCGCCGCCTGGCGCCTCGCTGGCATCACCCTCGGACGTCCTCGCGCCTTCACTGGCGTCTCTGCGCTTTGCGTGGCTTGCCACGCTTGCGGCCGCTTGTCGCGAAGAAAGCTCCCCTTCCTCCGGTCACCTTGGCTGGCAAGCCACTGCTCCCGAGTGAGAAGGAGCTTCCCGCTAGTGGTGATGGGCCCCGAGAGGACTGTGGCTCATCACTGTCGACGACCTTGAGGTGACCTATCGCCTCCTCGATCGACATCGTGGAGAGATCCAGCAGCGACTCGATCGAGCAAGCCATCCGCTTGTACTTCTCGGGGGCGCAGCCGGAAGAGCTTTTCGACGGCCTCTCTCCTCGTCGTAAGTGTCGTCGCCGAATCGCACCATCTTCGCAGCAGAGTGTTGAGGCGGAGAGCAAAGTCATCAACGTCCTCACCGGCTTGAAGGGCGTGTTCTCCCACACCTTGCGAAGTGCTGTAGTGTGGACTTGCGGGCGTGATCGGCTGCCGATGCGTCTTGCCCATGGCGATGGCGTCCCAAGCCTCCTTGGCGATCCGCTTGCTTTGGTAAGCGAATCGCATCTCAAAGCGGGGCTGCGGCGATGAGAGCATCCGGCGCTTTGTCGATCTAGGTCGTAGTCGACGTCGCCGTCACGGACCGCCTCCCACATGTGCCGCACTGAGCTTTACCCTCATCACC